CCCACCCCAGGCCTCACATCCCCAAGCCTCCACAGTCTTCAAAATAGCTACGAGCTTGAGGAACAAAGCTGTTGGGAACCTTTCAGGTCTCTACCAGGACATTCTGTTTCCATGGATCGTCAAGTGCCAAGGTGCCTTCATCTGAATCCCTTTCTTCTTGGCTCCTTCAGTGAGTCCCCCACCAACCCTCACCAGGCTCTCTCTCTCTCTCTCTCTCTCTCTCTCTCTCTCCTTTTCTCTCTCTCTCTCTCTCTTTCTCTCTCTCTCTCTTTCTCTCTCCACAAGATGATGTCATTAATCACACTCCCAGCAGCAGTCTCCCTTAGTGCCATAGCCCACTCAAGTTTCTGCTCCATCCCTCTGCTTCTTTACGGGGAATATGCTTTTCCAAAATTCTCTCCACTTCTCATAAAACATAAATTATGAAATAATTCTGAAGAAAAATTCAAAGGTAAAGAAAATTATGCTATAAACAGACTCCATATTTTCAATCCTCAGACTTAACAGATGTTAACACTTAGCTAAATTTGCTTAAAATTAAAAAAAAAAACCTTAAAACATAACCTATAAAGCTGAGTCCCATTTGGGCTTCCCAATCCTATTAGCCTCTCACTCACAATAACTTCTACTCAGAATTAGATCTAGCTCATTCCCATGCTTATAGCCATGGTTTTGTATTTTACTGCACATTTGTGTGTCTAATTCAGCTTGCCAGCCAGTGTACTGAGTTAAGAGATTTTTGTTTTATGCTGCTTTAATTTTGACCACCAAGCTTTTCACTTCTAAGATCTCCGTATCTGCTGCATTTTCATGGCTACCATTTTCATTCTGCCCCTCTGTTAAGTCTGTTTTCTCTGGTTAGGTGCATGGGGCAGCTCTCTGTCAAGCTGTCAGCTTCCTTCGGGTGTGTAATGACTTCTGGCTATCTACATATGACCATGGGGATCTGCTGGCCAGGGAAGGTCCAGTGACTATTCTCGCACAGGAAGGTAGTTTTTGTCCTGGGAGATTAGTTTGCATACTAGATGCTCACCATCCCAGGGACTCTTAAGGAGATTATGCTGTGCTCACCTCCTGACCCAAAGTTCTGTGTACGGGGTGCAGGATGCTGGAAGGTCACCTCACCTAGCTGTTCCCTTCCACCACAGGACTCCTGTTTCTCCAAGTATGGAACCCCCACATAAGCACTTTCTACTTACACAAAGTGAAATCATCTAATTTATTCATCTATATTTTTCAACAAAAACTGTGGTTTACATTAAAAGAATATCTACTTGACTTTGCTTTCCAGACTGTTACTGTTATGAATGTGTGCAGTATCCTCTGTCTACTGTATATGTAGATTGAAGCAAGAGGGGACAGGAAAAAGTGTGTGTTCACTCTATCATCTTAAATCACAACCATTTTTAAATGGTCCCTCAGAACTTTCCCATTAAATTGAAAGGCATTTTTTCTATTGAATAAGTTCAGTCTTGGGTGTGTGTGTGTGTGTGTGTGTGTGTGTGTGTGTGTGTGTGTGTGTGTGCATACCAATGCTGTATGATACTTTTCCAAGAGAGATATGAACAAATGAATACACCCAAGATTTGAAGCCAATGATGTAATAATAATACCCTGAACTCCAATCTGGTGAGCCAATGAAGCCGCAGGTTACTTAGAGGAATATAGGGTTTATTTACAGGAACAGGAACAACTCAAAGGTCGATACATCACTGAAATCTGTGACAGCTCAGAAGTGCTGGGGATTTAGAGATCTGAACAATTTGCAGGCTTCTCAGCAGATGCAGAGTGCCTTCTAGGCAGCTGGACTGGTCTGAGTCTTCTCAGTGGTCTCTACTATTCATAGAACCTTGAATATGGAGCAGTCAGTTTCATGGCCTTCCTGAGACTTTTGAGTAGTTTACTTCTGAGGCTAAAGAAGTTTACCTATAGAACTTTAGGGGGTCTAAAGGGCCTTTAGAAATCACTGAGTCTTAACAAGATTCCATCCACATCAAAAGGTTTTAAAACAGAGGAAATAGCTACACAACAAGGCATCCACATGCTCTTTGCTTGGTTGGGACCTTCAGAACTATTCCTCCTATTCCTCTCTCTCTCTCTCTCTCTCTCTCTCTCTCTCTCTCTCTCTCTCTCTCTCTGTGTGTGTGTGTGTGTGTGTGTGTGTGTGTGTGCATGTAGGCTGGAGGACAACTTTGGATGTCATCCTCAGAAAGGCTGTGTATCTCCTTTGAGAAAGGGATTTTCACTGCAGCTCCTCAATTAGGCTAGACTAGCTAGC